GGGCTTTACGGTTCGGGTTTAGGGTTTAGGCTTTAGGGTTTAGACCTGTTGAAACGTGGTCCTGGCCTGGGGGTTCACGAAGAGCCTTGAAAGTGATATCTTACTCTGGGGTTGGTTCAACTGAGACACTAGGCATGCAGTTAATTAATAGTGTGCGCCGCACGCTTGTGTAACCAACGGTAGTCGTAGTGGGTTCGTAGGTGTGTGGAATGCTACCTGCCAGCCGCTGCGCGAAAGCTGGAGAATCGAAAAGTCTCAAAAAAAAGGTTCCACCACTTCCTCCAAGAAGGCTTACAGCTCAGCCCTGCGGCTATCAGGACTTCTAGGCATGTAAGAAGCGCAGATACTCCATTTGAAGCCCGGGATTTATGATTCAGTGCGCAGAAGCCGAATACCCTATAATTTCTGCATATACATAGTCGGAGTGAGTATCGAATAGCCGCAGAATGCTGTATAGTAGTGCAGCAGGAACTTTATTCGCAGCATGAAACAAATGGTTAAGAATTTCATGGCTCCTGGCACCTTGAATGTTGAAAGCTCCTCAACGCTTAGACCCTAAACCTCTTTATAAAGCCCTGTGCCCTGAGGCCCAAAAGCCTAAACCCTACACATAGGGTTTGTGGTCGCCTTTTCAAGCCTTTCCAGGGCTGAGCCTCGTTCTGCCAACACGGTTCAAAAGCAGTCGATGCGGTTGTACCTATTGTATGAACCTTAAAAAGGGGCAAGAACACTTATGACTGACGGTTTAGGGTATGCGAGATATTCCCTTTCCTAGAACTTGTCCTAGCATGCAGTTCGATGCAAGCCTTTCAGCAGATCGTGGGACTTAGTAAGCAAGTGTGCCGTACCCGGACTGGGGGTGTATCCTACTTATAACAATACTTGTCAACCTAATGTAGGGTCCTTGCTATTTGGAACGGGGTTCCGGTGTACATTATATTATATGTTTTGAGGACCCCCCAAAATAGTATCGGAAATTATGCAGGCCCCCATATTACCCTTGCTAAGCCACCAATAGGCCTGATGGTACACCCCCCAGAGAACACGTACCCCTTAGCTAGGGAATCTACCTTAAATCATAACATTAAGGCCTCCATAATTTTAGGAACAAATCTTTAATTAAGGGGTATTGTGTTCTCAGCCCCTAAACCCTGAACCCTAAACCATAAACGGAACAACTCGTTTATTAAGGGGCATTGGGTTCTCGGGGCCAACACGTGCGAAATCACATTTTCCCTTGATCCGGCAAAGCGGGGCTGCCTGGATAATGACCGGAAGGGAGTGGCCGATCTCCTGCATTGGCTCTTTACCCAAGGGTCCAAAGGGTTGAAGGTTTAGGGGCTGAGGGGGTTTGGGCTTCAGGTTTAGAGGTTTAGGGTTTAGGGGTTTCGGGTTGAGGGTTTAGGGTCCCCAAGGGTCCAAGGGACCCGATAATCAGGTACTTAGGTCTCGGATAGTGGTTGTGTAGGTTACTACTTGGGAGAGTATATGATTATTAGGTACTTGGACCCTTAGGGTTTGGACCCTAAACTCTTTTGCGCCCGGTCTGCAGCGACTCTACCGGGAAAGACTTGCAACAACCAATATTGGGGTCCTAAACCGTAAAACCTCAACCCTGAATCCTAAATCCCAAATCCTAAACCCTAAATCCTAAGTCGTAAAACCTAAACCCTAAAACCTAAGCCCTAAATCCCTGGAGGGTCGAGGTTTCAGGATGTGGGATTCGGGAGGGATTGATTTTTTTGTTGGGGAGCGGTAGGGGGGAGGCGGGGGTCGAGGGTGGGTGGGCTTTCGACTTTAGGTTTAATTCGGGCACCCAAAAAAACCCGAAACCCCCAAAACCCCCAAACCCTAAACCTTTGGTGATTGCGGTTTAAGCCGTTCACAGTCTCTTCTATCTCTCACTCACAAGGCCCCAAGTTGGGATCCCTTAAGAGTTCCGTTACGGGTCCTTGAAGGGCTCCGTGAATGGTCCGTTCAAGCGTACGAATAAGTGTTTTACCTATAGTCTCCATTGCAATTACTTTTGGGGGATGTCTTATAAAATTCTTAATACATAAATGGTTAAACCAAAAAAAGGAACTACAATGGATACTATAGGTAGGATTTAGGGTGTACACATGTCCGCGTACACAGCTATTGTTTATATCAACCTATCCTTTCACCTGGCTTTGTTGTCTGCCGTTCTAGTCCTACAGACTTATACAAACATGATCTGAGAATCTTCTGGGCACCCATGCCACGAAACGTAGAAGTCTAAACCGGAGAAGTTTGAACCCCAACTCACGAAGAGCGGCCTAAAAGCCGCAACTCAAGCCCTAGATTCCCTAGATGTTGAGAGAATTCGCTCAGCCGTTGCGGTGAGGCCTCTCTGAACTTGGCGGCCAAATTATGCCCGCCGAAGGAGAATCTGAACGCGTTTTCGCTTCAGGCTTTTCCGAGCAGGGTTTGAGGGTGCCTGGTTTGGGAGTTTAGGTTTTTGTTTTTGGGGCTTAGGGTTTAATTAGGGCTTAGGGAGTTTAGGGTTGAGGGTCTAGGGCTTAAGCTTGGTGTTTGGATTTGGAAGCGTTAGAGGTTTGTGGGAGTGTACTATGCGGGGATTTCAGAACAGACGAAACCCGCAAGGCCAACGCCAAAAGCATTGGCCCAGGTCTTTCACCAAGGTGTGTGCAACACAATGCAACACACATACCTGCATGCATGCATACATCCATACATCCATACATCCATCCATACATACATAGACAGAGAGAGAGGCAGAGAGTCCCTGATTCGTGTACTGTTGCTGCCAGCTACCACGCGACTCTACTTAGAACATGTATGTAAGGCTGTAAAGCCTAAGCTAGGGATTCCAAAATCGCTCGAGAAGCATCCATCTTAAATCGTACAAAACCCAACATACACAAGACTCTTACAGAAAGCCAATATCAATGAAAACCAGAAGGGCCTCAGAAGAAACCCTGAACCTTAGACGCTATGAAAACAAACCTTAAACCCTCTTAACCCTATACGGGATAACACCAAACCATAAACCGAGAAAAGGAGCCCTAAATCCTAAACCCTCCAGCAAGCCCCATATAGGAAGAGCCCCAAGAAACCCAAAGAGCTCTGGTAA